CCAGTTTAAATGGAAGAGAAGCTAGGTACTGCTTTCAATGCATTTTACTATAAACACATTTGAAATACCCAAACTCATTTGTTTACATAAAAATATATACTTGCTCCAAAAGAAATCTCCTAGCCCTTTTCGCTTTTTTCCCAAAATATGCATATGGCGTGGGGGGGGGGGGAGAAAAAAGAATAAGAAAGAAAAGGAACAATAGCTTTCTTTACACTGTATATTTTCACCTGAATTGAGGATGGGAGAAACAAGGGATTCTTTTCAGCTGTATGCACTGGTGGTGTTGCACACTTAAGTGTTGACTTTAGAAGTGAAACTTCTTTTGAGCAAAGAGGGCTGTTTATTCTGTCCAGAAATTCTCCTAAGAGAAAAGAGACAGTGGGAGAAAGAAAAGTTATTTTCAGCAGAAAAGAGGATGAGCAATTCACCCATGCCTGTTTGAAATTGCTTTGAAACTATCTAGAAATCAAGTCATGTTATTTTCACTTCCCTTCTCCAGCTTAGTTTTATTCAAAACACACACAAATTTACGGGACATACACTCACTCACTTAGCTGAAGCTTTTGCAAAAGAACAGGTATTAGATGGCAATTCTGAAAATATCTCTTCCTCCCCCATTCTGTGGAACAATGTATTCATATTCCCTTTTCTCCTCAAATAAACCATACTTGCTCAGTTGCTTCCTGACTTATCACGCAGTTCAGCATCAGAGCCAAGATCATCAACATAAAACCAGTCAAAATCACCTTTTTAAAATCTAGCCACCATTATTCTCCAGGAAGCATAGATTATCACCCGCAGGTCAAGAATCTGATTCTGCTCAGAAGTAGGGAGGAGAGAGTTTGAACTTTCGCTTTTCTTTATCATTAGTGGGTCAGAAATAACTATGTTGCCAACGGTTTAAATTTTGCTTTTTTGGAGATTCAATCTTTTCCCTTTGAAATGTTTGTTTGCTTTTAAAAATCCAACCTGGTCCAACGTCATGATTAATACAGATTAAATAAGACCTGGTGATTTCCAGATGTTGTTTTAAAAGTGGGCAGCCGTAAATATGGACACCCACCTGTATGTTAGCTGCCTCCAAACCTTCTCCTTCCTTTACATTCCAAGGTCTTGAGGGAGAAATTTCATCTTTCTCTCCCTCAGGATTGAAATATCGTTAGACAATCTTTTTGTTATACACTGCAGAAATAAGCTTGCCATCCCCTTGCCCTCCGAGTCTAAAACCAACCCCAAAACCGGAATGGAATGATCTAGGGAAGATGTTTTAGTGTGTGGAAAAAAATGGATAGTGGCAGTGACTGAGTAATGATCCCCGAGCTGTGTCTGAGAGGTTCCCCCACTTCCAGGAAAACAATTAACCACCAACTTGTATGCCCCAGCGATAAAATCCCCTGAAGTCTAGGTCACTGGTTTTGATGGGAATAGGATGCTGTAATTCTATGATATTTATATTTGGGGGTTTAAGTTAAATCAATGAGCCTGGAAATCAATGAGACTTGAGAGGAAACTTGGGAATTGCCCAGCTTGATACTTCAAAGGTGGCAATGTGCACCTTGCTTGGAGAGACGTATTTGGAGAAGGGAAAGGGTCTGCAGCGGACACCAGCAGGACAAAGAAGAACGTGATTGTGTGGCATTTCTTTTCAGCAGCTGAAACGTGCAAAAAGAGCCTTGGCGTGAGCACCCAGTTACAACTGCCACTCTCCCCTCCGCTCACCTCCATCCTTTCTACCCATTTTAACACCGATCTCCTTAGTTTTATGCAGGAATTTCTCTTTTACCCCCTCTGCCTCCCACTTAAAGAAAAAAATCACCGAAGGGTATGCTGTCCCGACCTTTCAGGCGGCCTTCTCCCTCACCCAGCAATCCATCAATAACTACAAGCGATTCCCAGCTTGATCTGTGATTGGAGATTGTCTTGGGGGGGGGGGAGTGCAGGGAGAAGAAGGGGGGCTCGAAGCGATGGGGGCACCCAAACAAGACGGAGGGGGCTTTCAACTAGCTGTTAAAAGTCATCCCAAGCCATCTGTCCTTGGCACCAGCAAACTGGGAAACACTCCGCAGACACCTGTCCGACGTGCTGAAGAGATCTAAATCAGGTATTTTGGTTTCCTTCTTCGATTCTCTTGCTATTTTCTCCGTATGAATTAATCTCGGCTCCCCTTCCCCCCGTGGGCTATAGAATAGTGTTTTAAGGTGGCAGGCTTCCCTGAAAATTTATCGATCCCTCCTCCATAACCTTTGACTATCTAGCCGTAGCTCTCTTCATTTTCATCTTTATCTTTTGCATCTTGATCTTCGGCTCCTTGTTTCTGTGAGGCGACCCATGTACGGACAGGGAGCCGGAAAAGACCGCATGCACGTCACCCTAGTAAATTGCGTTCGCCTCTCCTAAATCAGTAAGTGCATAACGAAGGTTTCCATGCATGTATACACAAACACACCACCTCCCTGCTATATATATGTATGTATGTATATATACGTATATGTGTGTGTGTGTGTGTGTGTGTGTGTGTGTGCGCGCGCGCCTCTGAAGACGAATACCCTTTTGCTTCCATCTAAAAAGATTGGAATAACTGAGGACCCCCCCCCCCAACTTTGAATTTGATGAGGGAGGAAGGAAGGAAGGGAAAAGGTGCAGTCTTGTGGGGGCAGCCGGTTTCTTTCGATTCACTGGGTCCTTAAAAGAGCCAATTCGGAGTAGAATGTGACTCGCCGAACTCTGAATCATTCATTAGCACCTTATAATTACGCTGCTAATTAGGTTGACGCGCTAGTTAATCAAGAGTAATACGTCGTCTTGTCACTGGCACTTCCCATTATTCTAACATTCAACAAGAGAAAGGTTCTCGTCGGGTCGTGCTGGAGAAATGAACGAAGCTGACGCTCTCCGCGACGCGACCGTGGAATAATGCCCACCCGCCCTCTCGGATCCCTGGCGGATCGGCCGTGACGGTGTCCGTGGCAAACGGCAGGAGCTGGAAACGCAGAGCGAGCCGCGTCCGGCGCGGAGGAGCCCAAGCCCGGCTGGCGCGCAGGCACACGAGAGGCCGCGGGATCCCAGCGGAGCGGCGCGCTGCGGGCCGAGCGCCGCGCGGCTTGAACGCGTCTCTCGTCCTCAAGGCACCGATCGGGTTCTGCTCCGGATTAGCAGACACTCTCCCTGGAACATTCCTGGCCCGCTTTCCTCCTTCTGCCAGGCGCGGATCCCCTTCTATTTCCTGCCCTTTGGAAAACAGAGGCTCCCTTTTTCTCCTCCCGCCCCACCGCGCAGCTTGGCTCAGAACCCAAATTTCACCCCATCTTGCCCTGAAAGTGACTTCAAGCCGTGCATCCCCGCTACCCAGGAAGGATGCGCAAAACTTACCTGCCCTCCCCTGCCAGACAAAGAAAATACGGAGCCGTGTGTGTGTGTGTGTGTGTGTGTGTGTGTGTGTGTGTGTGAAGGTAGCACTAAGTAATCCCTGGAAGGCCGACCTGAACCCAGTTCCCGTTTTGAAGAGGTGGATACTCCGTGTGAATACTTGTTTCGCTTTTGTAATGCATAATCTTGCTTTACATATGTAGGACACGTGAGATCTGACACCTCCAAAGCGTTGGCTAATAATAACAACCATAACAATCATATCTGTAACTGTTATTTCTCACCTCTTAAAAAGGACTTTCTGTCTGTCTGTCTCTTTGGTTCTTTCTTTACTTTTAGCAAGTCCTACGACTTAAATGATGGCTATTGACGTGCTATTGGTGATAAAATAATCAACCGTTTATCTTCGGGTGTACACTTGGAAATGGAGGGGCGGGGAGGGGGAACCCTGGAGCTTCTAAAAAGAACAGTCCCGCTCCTGGAACCGGCGAGGTCCCTCGGCCCCCCCGCCCCTTCCTCAACCCTCTCTTGCCTCCGATTGGCTGGCGCCCGCTGAGCGTCAGGCTCGGCCATTGCGGCCGCCAATGGGGTGGCGGCGACTTCACGGCGGACCGAAATAAATAAATAAACGAGGAAAGGACGGGAGGCAGGCGCGATCCCAAAGCCGGGCGGGGGCTGCGAATCCGGCGCGGGGGGCCGGGCGGCTGGTGGGGCCGTGACGTCACGGGGAAGCGGGGCTGGCGAGAGCAGCCGGCTGGCGGCGGGAAGAGGCAGGCGGGCAGGCGGCGGCCGCGGCTCGGCGTCTCCTCCTCCTCCTCTCCTCCTCCTCCTCCTCTCCTCCTCCTCCTCCTCCTCCAGCACCACGCCTCAACTTTCCAAGAAAGTTCAATAACTCCTGGGCGCGGGCGAGAGAGCGCGGGCGAGAGGCGCTGGGTGGGCGACTGGGCGCAGCGTCCGGCAGCCACGCCGGCCGGCCGGCCCCTCGCCTCCGGGAGCTGGGCAGCGGCAGCCTCGCCCTCCGCCAGCATCCTGCGTGCTGCTCCTTGCGCGCTCTCCCCGGCTCCAGGCGATGCGGTCCGCGCGGGCAGCCGCGGCCGCCTCCTCCGGTATCGCTCCTTGAACAATACGCCAAGCACGTGTGCGAGGCAGAGGCAGAGGCAGAGGCAGAGGCAGAGGCAGAGGCAGAGGCAGAGGCAGCGTTCGCGGCGGGAGCGCGGGCGGCGCGCAGGGCCGCGCAGGAGAAGCCCGGCACCTCCAGAGGGGGCCGATCCCGCTCCGCTCCTCAGGTTTCTTCCCGTAACTCTCTTCCCCCGCACGGCCGCCCCTTCCCTCGCTTCTCCGTTTCGCGTCCCGCGCATGCCCCTCGTCCTGCCACCAGCCGCGACCTCCGCCTCCTTCCCTTGAGCCTTCCCGCTTCCCTTTAAGTTTTGGTTTTGACCTTTCTTCCTGGAGGGCTCTCGAGGCGCGCCTAATTGGTCTGCTCTGGTTGTTTGTTATTTAAACAACGTGTTTCCATCGATCTTCTAGATCGCTTCTCCTGCGCCCCCGTGCGCGCCCCTCTGCGAAACCTGTCGGGGCAAAGACCGCGTCGAGAGGACTGGGGCATGAAGGCGCCTCTTTGAACGGCCACCATGGAAGGATCTAGCGGCTCCAGTTTTGGAATAGACACGATTTTATCCAATCCCAGGTCCGGCAGCCCGGCGAGCATGATGAACGGAGACTTTCGGGCGGGCCACGCGGAGGCCAGGGCGGCGGACTTCCTGGGTCAGGCCACCCCGTCCCCTTGTTCGGAAATAGACACGGTGGGGACGGCGCCCTCGTCCCCCATCTCGGTGACGGCGGAGCACCCAGAGCAACACTTGGCGCAAGACGGACTCTCTCAGCAGCACCTGCACCTCCACGGCCAGCATCCACAGCAACAAACTTTGCAGCAGTCGCCGCCGCAGCCGCCGCAGCCGCAGCCGCAGCCGCCGCAGCTGGGCTCCGGCAGCTCTGCCCCCAGGACTTCCACTTCTTCTTTTCTAATCAAAGACATTTTGGGCGACAGCAAACCTCTGGCGGCGTGCGCGCCGTACAGCACCAGCGTCTCGTCGCCGCATCACACCCCCAAGCAAGAGAACAGTGTGGCGAGCGAGACCTTCAGGCCGAAGCTCGAGCAGGACGACGGCAAAAACAAGCTGGACAAGCGCGACGACTCCCAGAACGAGCTGAAGTGCCACGGTGAGTGCCGCGCGGCGCGTGCGGGTCCGCGGGCTGCGGCGCTCGCGCGCTCCATTGTCTGAGCTGCCAGCGCGCTCCGAACGTTCCATGCCGCGTTCCATCTCGCCCGCGAACGTTCCACGTCCGAACGAGCCGCCCGCGAACGTTCCACGCCGCGTTCCATTTACCCTCCAAGTGCCCGGAACTTCCGCCGGGAATCTGGGTCGTCCGAGTGAGGATGAGACATTTCAGCGACTTGGGGAAAAAGCAGTCCAGTGCAGAAAACTGAACCGCCCTTTCAGATTGTTTGTAAAAAGAAGCGAATCCCACTGCATCCTTCAGCTTTTCTGTTTGTGCTTTTCAGAAAATAAAAATCACTTGTTTCCAAGAATATTTATTTAACATCCTCACAAGATTCTGCAGCTTTTCCAAGAAATATATATTCTTGGAAGCAAGTGATTTTTATTTTGTATAAATAGAAATATATAGTAGTGGAATAATAGTGATAGTTTGGTGTCATCAACATCAAAATGCCAGTTGAGTTTATTAGTGACTTAAAAAGGCAAACATGCATTCCGCTTGATTTCTAAAAACACCCTACAAAGGTTTACTAACACTTCATTAACAAGACAAAATTTTGAGATGAAGGTTATATGAAAATAAATAAAAAATCCACTTTAAAAATTAGTTGAGCAGATTAGGATCTTTCTTTTTTTTAAATAGCGGTTTTGAATCAATAGCATTCTGTGGATTGTGCTACTGAGTTCTGTGGTATCTTAAGAAGTGTGCAAGAAATGTAAATGGTCTTAAATTCAAATCTATAAGGGTGTGTGTGAATAGTTCGGCCACTCACTGGGGGGAAAAAAAGGCAAGAAGCTCCTAATGCCAAGGGAATCCCATTTAACTGGGAAAGCGCATTTGAAGCACGGAGGTAAGAGAGGCCACATTTTACTAATTTTACAGTCTTCAGATATTTTGCACTGGCTTAAGAGACGGATGCCCCAATATGCTATTCATTTTGCAATTTGAGCATTAGCATAAGAGTGTCCAAAAACAGATGTACAGCCTTGGTCTAGCCCTCCCCCCCTTTTTTTTGTTAGTTGGTGCACCAACCTCCCCAGTGGGTCAATTAGAGAGATTATTGTTCTTCCTACAGGGAAGATCAAGGAGCGCCGAGGAAAAAAAGGGGGGGGGAATCATCCTAGTACAAACACAGATGGATTGACATATCGATTTCCTAACATTTCAGCACCTTTCTTTCTGTCTTTCTTTACAATCCAAAACAAAACCCAGAGATACCAAATAGAACCTGGGATTGTTTGGGCTGCCACCGAGGCAGGCGAAGTCCAACTTGGCTTTTGTGCTTGGATGATGAAGTCTTGGAAAAGTGGAGATGTCTTGGTTTTGTATTAACAACTTCCAGTTGCACTTGGGAAGGGGAAAAGAATGGATTTGGGTAAGGGAAGAAGTGAAAGAGGAGGTAGAAGAAAAGACTTTCTCTTCCGAAGAAGGAAATTTGGAAGTTGTGTGACCAAAAAGATTCTCAAACCCTCACTACAATTCGATGTACAATTTTTATTCTCTGTGGACAAGGGCCAGTTTCCCTAATCGTTTTGAGTGGCTGTGGTTCCCTCTGTTTCACAGGGAAAATGATCTCCCCTGCCAGGCAATTCATAATCAGTCCTCTTGAGCCTTCAGTCTGAATCCATCCAGGACGGGTCCCTCCCACCCTGGGAAGTTCCAAATCGGGCTTCATGCTTTGGTGCCCGGGTGCAGCCGCCCCAGTCGCTTGCCTCCACACGTTCCTGTTCCCTCTCTTTCTCAGCATTAAAGCCGACCCTGTGTCTTGTTCCTAGGGACGAAAGAAGAAGGTGATCGTGAGATCTCAAGCAGTCGGGATAGTCCCCCTGTGCGAGCAAAGAAGCCCCGCAAGGCTCGGACAGCCTTCTCTGACCATCAGCTCAACCAGCTGGAGAGGAGTTTCGAGAGGCAGAAGTACCTGAGCGTCCAGGACCGCATGGACTTGGCAGCTGCCCTTAACCTGACCGACACTCAGGTCAAAACCTGGTACCAAAACCGGAGGTAGGGGAAGCTAGCAGGGCGAAGTGACTGCAGGTGGGGGGAACGGACTCTGGGTCTCTGAATTTCCTCTCCTTCCCTGGATGCCACTCTCAGAATGTTTGAATTAAACCATATTGGGGAAGAGGAGAAGGAAGGGAAGCCAGCAAGGCTACCAGCACCCCCAACACTGCTGACTCAGGAGTCAGGTGCCTCGGCCAGTCCTTGGTTTAGGCGATCCTGTAGGTACGAAGTCCGACGGGGCAAGGATGCCCCTTGTGTTCCGCCAGCTCTGTCTCCCAGGAGCTGTGGTGTTTGGTCGCAAGTCCTACCACCGCAAGCCCAGCCATTGCCACTCAGGCGCAAAGCCCAGTGCTGCTTGCTCCCAGGGCCGTGTGAATGACGTGCCACCTGCACCCATTTTCCTGGGCGTTGATCCCTTTGAATTCTGCCAGGGCTTACTTCTGAATAGGCGCGCCTAGGCCTGCCAGGTTCAAATGCTTTCCTTTTTAAAAGAAAAGAGCCTGCCGCCTGCAAGCCGCCACTCCGTGGCCTTTCAGGAGAGCCTGCAGATGGCCAGCTCCGAATGAAGTGGGGCCTGTCTTTGTATCGGAGTTACCTCCGTTACGTGCCCTCCAACTCCCGCATCAAAACTATGTTTCACTCCCGTTTGGCCAAAAATGCCAGGTCACCATGAGGCTTCCCTTAAATGTGTTTCTATGAGGAATGCTGGGCAGGAACAGTTGTAAAAAGGTAGAACAAAACCTGCACAGGCCAAGTATGCCGTCTTTTTCCAGCCCCCCCCCCCCCCTCAATACAGCAAAGGAAGGAGAGACTGTCAATCCATGCAGGGCTTGCTGGGAAAGCTAATTAATATGGCGGGTGGCTCAAAGTGGCCCGATCGTCGGACCAGTGACCCTAGAGTTCCAGGCTGAGGGCTGATTTTTCACCCTAAGGCCTAATCCATGGCCTTGGAAGGGGGTGGGGAGGACATCCGTCCATCCGCCCATCCCAGTTCTCTCTTTTCCTGCCTCCCCCACTTTTAAATCTGCTTCTGGGCGCGCCTCTCTCTAACCCACTTGGAAAGATCGTTTTTCCGCGTTGTGCCCGTGTGATCTGAGTGTGTGAGAATTAGGAACAGAGGTGGGGAAAATCAAAGCGTAAATGTGTGTTTGTTCCCCCCCGCCCCACCCTGAAGGAGTCACCGACAACGGGGGAGCCACAAAGGCAGCGCGCGATTTCTAGTTTCTCGCAGACGAGGAGTGGGGTGGAAAAGCGCGTCCGGTTGTCAACATTGCCATGATTTTCTGTCTCATTACGTACGGCTGCAGCCACCCTAATTCTGTCGGAAAACATTAGTGTCATTTATCGCTAATCTAAACTGGAGCGCCATGTTTATTAATTTGGCTGCAATTGCTGGGCTGTGATTGAGCGCGCGTGTGTGCAGAAGATCCACCAGCTCGCAGGGCCAACCGGGGTTTCTCTAAAGAGGCCATTCGTGGAGACCCGCATGCACCCCTGGGAACCGTGTGCCATCAGCCTAGAATAAACGGGCTTGTTCATACTCCGATTTCTTAGAAATATGTGGGTTTTGCAGAAATAGCTGGGAAACAGAAAGATGTTCTCTGTCTGTTGAATCATTCGACCAAATGGCTTCTTGTCCTTCCAGTGATCTTTACTGTGTTTTCCCATGGAAGCAAAATAGCACCCCCCCCCTTTGAGATTTTAAATTGATTAACAGAATTCTGAAGTCTTCAGGATTCTAGATCCGTTTTCTGGAGTTAATATCTTACAATCCGTGGTAGCTGGGTTTTGTTTTGTCTTTTTTATTTATTTGTCTTTTTTATTTTTTGCCAGGATGACTTTTGCCACCTCAGGCTAGATGCCTCATTGGTCTGAATATGATATAAAGTTGTATGCGTGTGGGTGCGTGTGGACTATGGAGTAGAGGTGGGGAAAGATACTAATTTGCAAAGAAATTGTCTGGATCTGAGCTCTTGATAGAAGCTGCAGGGCGGATTTGTTTGGACGATAACCATTGACTCAAGAGTAAATGTGAAGAAATCATTTACTTGTCCCCTTTAAATCCATGTTTTAGTTGGATTGAAAACTTATATTTTCAAAGACCTGAGCCTTACCGGCCTTGGTGTAAAGATTAGGCATTCAATAGAAGATGCTGGGCTGGCACGGGTGGGAGGGGGGAGAAGGAAAGGCGAGAACTGATAATTAAAAAGAGGTCTGGGGAGGCCATGGGTTCAGTTTTAGTGACATGTGTGGAATTTGGGTTCAATGCACTTTAAGGGGGATTTTCGAAAGAGGCGGGGAGGGTTCGAACCAGAAGGAAGGGTTCCCGTTGGAGCAGGCCGGTGGAAGAAAGCGGCGTTTGGATGCTGGCGATTCCGGATTGATGAGTGCCCCTCGCCTTTCTGTCTGCCCGAGCGCTCTGCCGCCCGGGCCGCGGGGCGGAAAAGTTGCGTCTCCGTTTGGGTGCAAGCGGCCGCGAGGGCTTGTGCGCCAGGGCCGAGCCCGCGCGCCTCGGCGGCGCTTCCCCTGCGAGAGCGGCCGCGCCGGCGGCGGGCGAGGCGAGGCGAGGGCGAGGCGAGGCGAGGCGAGGCGAGGGCGAGCCCGTCCCTGCGCTGCCCGTGCCGGCCCGCGTCCCGCTGCCGGGCCCGCCTAGCGCGTGTGCTTTCCGTCTCTTGCAGGACCAAGTGGAAGCGGCAGACGGCCGTGGGGCTGGAGCTGCTGGCCGAAGCGGGGAACTACTCGGCGCTGCAGCGGATGTTCCCGTCGCCCTACTTCTACCACCCCAGCCTGCTGGGCAGCATGGACAGCACCACGGCGGCCGCGGCGGCCGCGGCCATGTACAGCAGCATGTACCGGACTCCGCCCGCGCCGCACCCGCAGCTGCAGCGGCCCCTGGTCCCGCGCGTGCTGATCCACGGCCTCGGGCCCGGCGGGCAGCCGGCCCTCAACCCCCTGGCCAGCCCCATCCCGGGGACCCCTCACCCGCGGTGAGGCGCCCCGGCCGGCCCGCCCGCCCGGCCGCCCCCGGCCCGGCCCCGCGGCCCCGCGCCTGGAAGCGGCATCGGACGAGCGGCCAGGCCGGGCGGGAGGTGGGCCGGGGGCCCGGGGCCGCCCCCCACGCGGCCGGAGGAGGCGCCCGGCCCGGCCCGAGCGCGGGAAGCCCGGGAGCCGCAAGTGGGGCGGGGGGCGCCTCCCAGCCCGGCCTCACCTCCTCTGTCAGAGGAGGGGGCGTAAGCGCCTCCAGGAGGGGGTGGAAGAAAGGAGGCTGAGACCAGCCAGACCCAGCAAAGACTCGTGAATGACACAAAGGAGGAAAAAAGGCAGAGACGCCCCTCCCCCAGGCAGGTCTCAAGATGAGGAGGGGGCGGCGGCGGCGGCGGCGGGGAAAGAGAAGTTTGCACTGAATTCTCATGACCTTTTTTCTTACTGAAAAGTGGCATGCTCCGTATTCTAGAATATATAGAATATATATATTCTATCTATATATATATATATGTATGTATGTGTGTGTGTGTGAGTGCGTGCGTGCGTGCGTGTATGTATATATATATATAGAAAAAATGTACATTCTGAACAGGCTGGTGTGCGAAGTGATATATCTTATTTATTATATGTTGTCCAAAAAATAAAAGTCACTTATATACATTAGATAAAAGAACAACAGCAAAGAAACAAAAAAATATTTCTTCTCCTCTCCTCTCTCCTTTTTCATCCGTTTTTTAATTCAGTAAAATAAATGCTTAGTTGACATAAAAAATATAGATTTTTTTGATGACTGGAAATGGCAAAACGAAGGGGGAAAAAAGAAATAAACTTTTATCTTTTTTTAAACAAATGTGCAGACGGAAGCAAGCTGATTTACCTGAGTAAAAATACACGGGTCTTCATTCGGGAAAATGGGTAGGACTTGTGCATGGGTGACGGAACTTGACAGCATACAAACAAGAATATTTGGTGTTGGTGTAGGGTGGTCGTGGGCTTTAGGTATAATAATTAATTCCCATTTCTTTTTGAAAGTTGAGAAAGAGTTTGATTTTTGGAAGCAACAAATCAGAACAAAATCAGAGAAGGGAAGCGATGGTTGTTGCGGGCCTGCTTTTGGGGAGCAGCGTTTTGTTGACAAATAAGTATTTTCCGGGAAGAAGGTGTATTTGTTTGTACCAGGAGTATTAGCTGCGCCTCTTGGCACGGCCGCTCTACCGCCACCGCAGCCGAGACGCCTTCCTCCTTTCGCTCCCCTTGCTGAATATTTAAAAGGCTGATCGGAGGAGAAATCTTGAATGGTTTGCTCAAGGTGGAAGAGTGTCTGGGAAACCGAAATATGGTCGCCCAGCCTGGCAGCTGTTCCGAGGTCGCAGAAGCGTTCGGGGAGAAAACGTGGAGGACAGACAAGGAGCGGGAGAAAGATGCTGCAGGCAATTAGGGACGGGGGGGGGACCAGACCCCGGGGCAGCGGGAGAAAACAAAATCCAACCCAATCCACAGCCGGGGGGGGTGGTGGTAAGGGGGGGGGGGGGGCGCAAGCAGGCGCGCTTTCATCTCTCCCCATTTCGAGACTCGTTTCCCCCTCCCCCCTCGCAAGACCTTGTTCCTTCCTCTTTAGTCACTTTCTCTTTGGCTGCTGTCGCCACCATCGCCGCCGCTGCTGTCGTTATTTTAAACCTTCCCTTCTTAAACTCCGTCTGCAAACCGACTTTCCTTTTCGGCTCTGTTTTTGGCAGCACCAAGACTTTTGGATTGCCGGGCTGGGGGTTCAGAAGAAGGGGGTGGGGAGAAAGCAGGGGCCGAAGCAAAGGCGGGCGGGCGGGGCGGGGCGGGGGAGCGAAGAAACGGGCTGGCTCTGGACGGGGCTGGGGGGCAGGCGGGTTAACGGGTTGAAAATGATGCAACGGGAAAGGCGAGCGGGCCGCTTGCGCGCTCAGTCTCTCCCTCTCTTCCTTCCCTTTGGCTGCTCCGGCCGTGGTGGGGGGCTGCCTACCGTTCCCCCACCTCTGCCAATCTAGATCAGCCTGCCCAGCCATAAAAAAGCCTTCGAAAAAAAGAGAAAGAATCTTCTTCTCTCTCACCTCCTCTCGCCTTTTCCCTCCTCCTCCTCTTTAAAATTAGAAAGATATACAGCAATTACCTATAAAACATTCATAACGCCAGTCCAATATTATCGCCTCCTCTGAGGTTTGTGGTTGGCTCTCCTTGCTTGTGTGGGTTTTTATTCTCTAAAGAAGGAAGAGCAGGGAGGAGGCGAGTGTGAGGTGATTGGAAAGAGCGGTGGGGGGGGGGAACACCCAGGAAAGCCTGCGGGCACATTTTATTTGGGCTTTGCTAATTAGAGAATGGTTTGCTGATTCTCCCTCTCTCCCTCTCTCTCTCTGCTAATAAATTCGCTTTAAAAACCATCTTGACCTTGGCCGCGTTCTCACAAAAGGGTCCGGAAACGCCCACCTCATTTTCGGCTCTTGTCACAACGGACCTTGACAATTACGCGGGGACTGAGCTGGGGGAGACGAAATTATACACAGAGCAAGCCTTTCTCCTCCCCATCGCCCCACTTGCCCGCTCTCCTTGTTAATTAGGGCTTAGAAATAAATAATAACAACCCACCCACCCACGCACCCCCTCCGCATCAAGCTGCTAATGGCTCGGGTTGGCCTCGTTCCGCAGCGGCTACGGCTGCCACGGTCACCAGAGGAAGCCCCTCCGTGGCTCTGCGCTGAGACGCACCCGTGGCTGCGGAAACCGACGAGAGAAAGGCACTGACACGTGAATCCCAGGGAAAGGGTCCAGCGGGGCCCCTCATCCGTCACAGATTTTATTTTGAGCCATGTAGGAGCTATCCGTGGTGCTGCACTCTTCCCCAAAATATCGTGCAATACCATCGATGGTGTCTAATAAGCTCGTAATAAAAGCTGCAATGTATGAGGATCCCCACTGACATGGAAGTCACTACCTGCATCCAGCTGACTTTGTTCCCACTGAACTGAATGGGAATTTAATTTTACGCGCCTATGCATCTCCCCCATTGGAATGAATGGACGTTAAATTCATTCCAATGAGTTTTACCTAGGCAATGCCCATAGCGGTTTAAAATACAAAAGAAGTCTGGTAGTAGAAAAGGGAAAGTCTTGAATGCTTTAAATTTTAAATGTTTTGAAGTTCTTCCTCTTACTTGCTTTTAAAGTTAGGTATTTCAGCTAAGCCAAATGGGCTCCAGAATTATTTGGCTGGTGTATGATTTAAAAATCTGATGATAAATTTGCCAGTAAGATGTGTTTAAGCTACCTTTAATTTATCAGAAGTAAGCATCAAGAAGATAGAAACAAACACCATTGTTTCAGTATTAATGCTAGTAATTGAATGGTGCCAAAGTGCAGGCTATGAATATGATTGTCTTTTATAAATTTAATACCTGAGATTGAAAGGGGAAAATATTCTAAATATTCCTTCCAATTCAGCTGATAGTGTGGCCAAAGTAATTGAAAAATATTGCTATATCATCCTGTCAATTGTAGAACAGGTCATGGGTGGTGCAGGGAATGGGGGAGAAGAAGTTTTTAAAAACTTCTAATAAAATACATTTTTTCAGTCACTGGGACATGGGATGAAGGTGGTTGGAAAACCTTTTTTAAAGACTAGACTGATAAATACATGTACTTCTGATGCATATATAATCCTAGATGCATCTACTCAGAAGTAAGACCTTGAATTCAATGGGATTTACTCCTAGGTAAGTGTGAATGGGTTGCAGCCCAACTGATTTTTCCTAGCTGGGTTTGCAAGGGAGAGGTGGAAGATGGAAATATTGTGTGGTTTCCTCAATATTTATTTTTAAATAAAATAAATACTTTAAAAATAAGTATTATTTTCATACTTAAAAGAATGAGACCACTTCAACTGTACAGGAAGGAGTTTTCTTGGAAAACCAACATTGTTTCCCCTCTCCCCTGTAGCTCTTCCGTGCCTGCGGTGAAATTTGAACTCTTCACTTTGCTGATAAACAATTTGGATTGCCTCTCACTTAAATTATGAACAAGCTAAATAAACCTACTTCATTAGCCGCCTTTGCTGGCTTCTAAAGCTAATTAAAAGAGGCTTTCCTTAGAAGAAAGGGCTCGGTTCGATGTTTAAAAAGCTACAGATGCGCGCTCATTTAAATGCATTCAAGCAAGACCAGAGAGAGAGAGAGAGAGAGAGAGCGAGAGAGCGCAAGAGCGCGCCTGCAAGTTGCTATTCCTCCCCGCTTTTTTCTTCCCCCTTTTTCCTTTTGGTTAACAAGCTCCCTCATAGAGTGATTATCAAAAGACATAGCAAAGGAATGGATGCGGCTTTGCTTTAATGGACTCCTCCCCAAGCACCCTGACTCTAGTCTACAGACGAGCTATTTCTGGCTCCAGTCTCTCAGGATAAACATTTAAATAACTCTCCCCTCCCTTTCTATCGCGTATCTCCATTTGCAATGGGGCCACAAGACGATTCAGTCCGTTGCGAGCCTGCTCGCTGGGCTTCCCTTGATCACAGCTTCCCTCAACCTCCAAGTTAAATACTTCCTCCCCCTTTTACAGACTCTCCCCTCATTCCTCTGCTGTTTGATATTTCAGCACCCGCTTCCCGGAGGTTGTCGGACTTCCACCGTTGTTTGTTCGTATGGCCACAGGTAGAAGTTCAAGAGAACGTGTAATATGGGATACCTCCCACTGCTTAGCTCTGCATCCCCCAACCAGCCCTTCTGGATGTTTTGGACTGAAACACCCATCATCCCATATCATTGGCTATGCTAAGTGGGGATGATGGGAGATGTAGTCCAAAAAATCTGAAGAACACCAGGCTGACCTAGGCCTGTAAGGCTCTTTTTATATTGTTACACGGCAATTGTTATTATTGTATTACTATCCTCCTCCTCCTCCGCTAGCAGGAGAAGCTCTTTTCCTCCCTTCAAAGCCACCTAGCACATGCGAAGGCTAAGATTGCCCAGGGAAAGCAGCCAGTTGGACAGAGAT